GGCCTTTTTGGGGGGGGGGGGGGCAGGAAAAGAAAGCGAACCTCTATGGTCAGCACACAGAGTACACAATCCAACTCGCAATATTTTTATCTCCTGGATATTAATTCACTGTTTGCCAATCCCATTCCACTTACACTCTTGATATCCTGCTGTTCCGTATTGCCATGGTCATCTAATCATCTGATAGTCACACATCTTCGTACCCCCTTTCGTCACATGACGTTCTTTGTGAACTATGGGCGTCACTCAACCTTATCCCACTCAATCTGTCCGGTACACGAAATACACTTCTCCAGCTAACACGAGCCAGTGTTCAGACCCTGCAAATCGCCTGAAGTCTTTAGGCTATACTGATGATTAGCGGTGATGTCGTCTCGCGACTGAACCATAGCTAACATAAGAAATATCATAAACATTCTCAGAAGTTGTTCAGAAAGTTTTGTGCCAGATTATAGAATCACAAATTACGCAAAGCGCGGAGATTTATCCAACGAGACGGCAAACATGGGCACAGAAAACTGGTTTTGTGGGAGAAATGGGTGAAAGTGAAAAACAGACGCACTGCAGGGAATAGTCGTTTTTAAACAACTGAGCACATCGGGGTATTTTGCAACAAACTGCTTAGAATCATTAGAAAGAAATCGCATCTAGTTGTGGGTGTGTAAGGGTTAGGAGTATCACTGCGGAACTGCCTGACTATGCGGTCCCTGAGACATCCTCAACCTCTTTGATCTTCATTATTTGTCTAATTTTCACCTGTGGCATAGATCAGCTATCACGATCCGAGAATCCGAGAAAGGTTCAACTAAGCAAGGATAACAGAGGCCTAAAAACTAGGCCAGATAACGCAGGGGGATAGAAATATGGTCAAACCCGATAGGTTGGGTGAGATCTACTACCTGATTCAATAGCTACAAAGAAAATCTGTAAAGCTATGAAGGATGCATGGATCTCGAGGCTGATTTCAAACCAGTTGAATGAAGAATAAGGTCCTAGTGAGTCATTGGAAATCAGGTGCAAACATAGTTGTCATACAGTACTCACTTGACTGTGCTAAGGCTAGAGGCGCACAATGAAAATAACGCCGAGTGAAGCTGAGAACGTCTGATGTAACAAGCAAGTTATGGCAAAGCTTGATGATGATTTGTGAAGTCGGATTGTCCTCCCGAAGGCATTAACCGTGGTGAATTAGGAAAAGTGGGTGTTATAATTACTTTATGCAATAAAATTAGCTAGTAGATGTTCTGATTAAGTATTTTGGAGAGGAAAAGGTGGAGGAGGGTTTATTTTCAAAAGAATATTTGGGATGTGAGTGAGTAAGGCATTGCGAAAAGATAATAGTCGTTTGATGAAACATACTAAATTTGTATTCAAAGACATGAAGAACCATCGGTTAATCCTGCGGAGATATAGATCTTGAGCTATGATAGTCATACAAAAACGTTTCATCTCCACAGAGAAAAGTTTAAAACAGTATTGGTTTGTTCAAACTGGATTATAAAGGCCAAATAAGCGCGTTGCCCCAAAAATGCTTAAGTAGAATGGATATTCAACAAAAAAGAACAATACTTGGTGATTTTCGTGTGACCTTTGTAGAGCAGAGCCAATCTGGACTGAAATACCAACAAAAAAAGAAATGCTGTTTCTGTTACCCTCAAATCAAGAAGAAGCACACCAGTTTCATCGAAAACCAGATGTATAGTATGCGGCAACTCTGTTTGTAGGGTTCTCGGCTCGATTTCCCCTACCATTATTATATGCACAATAATGACGATGCCAAGACAGTGTAGAACAGCTGTTCATTAATGCTGGTGAGATCTGCAGACTGGATTGCGTTGATTTCGATCACACAAGTTTCTTTCAACCGTGTGGTGTTGCTTTCCTGTTCGGGTTCCATTGAATGCGTATTTGAATTCTTCACCGGTCCTGGACCATTCCTGCCCTCTGAAACTATGCGGGTCGTTTCTCACTATGTAATTGAATGCCTAGAAGATATGCCAACGACTCGAAAGGATCACCGGCGGCAATCGCACTTACCCGGAATGCAGTTAGTCCGACCGCTAAAATCTGCCACCGATCCAGTTGAACCATTGTTAAAGTCGATAAACCGGGCCAACGATCGGGTACGGGCTGTAGAACTGCACTGAGCTCATTCAACACAAGCGGAATTAGACCACGCGAATTGAGCAACGTGGCGAACGCTGAATGGCCAGTGCAATCCGTACTGACAATGGGAGGCGACCACAGCTGGCGGGGTCCGAATGCGATTAGACAGCGAAGTAAACCGGGATCCAGGAGGAAGAACGCTGGTTTACCGTTCGCCAAAAATGGATCCACTAGAGGGCAAATTAGCTGAAGCAGAAACATCTAGCGGAAGGAAGTGTAGTGAATGTGCGGAACAATGAGTCGATTTATTAATCACTGTTGATTAGAGTATGTCGGATAGGACAATATGTTCATGCGCTCACTTGTTTCAAAAGATGTCAGAAATAGGATAAAGGGGATGCGGTGTCGAACGAAATACACCGGTTTCCTTAAACGATAGCATTACACTTACACCAATGCGCTCAAGACGAGTTGTTCTGTCACTTAACACTATGCGCGGACCACGCTTCTGAGAATTAACAGTATGCTGAAAACGTCGCCAACAGAGACAGGTATGCAAGTATGAACCACACTAAACTAAAGCTATAAACCGCTAACAACCGTTTTATCCCCTTGTAGATTGAACGAAAAGGGATGTGAAATATGATATACGTTTATTGCAAATAACAAAGCCGCAGAGGGGGCGAATTCATGTGCTGTGTGTTAGAGCAGGGTTCCCGGCATAAAGGGAAGAAAGCCTGCCAAAGAAGCGCTCCACTAACATTGATAGGTACGAGGTACCATCAAACAGAATAGTATAACGATTATACAATTTAAATCAGTTCCTTGTGGTTAACGATGTGGGATAAGTGTATCTCATTTTCGCTGAATAGCCTGATGAACAACAAACAGGGTGACACAAGTATCTGCTGTTCCGTCATGGAAATTAGTAACCTAAGACCAAGGACTTGGAAGGGCGAACTATATAAAACCTCGATAGGTTAGGCGTGGTATTGCACTGCATCTTGAAAGAAGTCATAGTTCATCCTGGAAAACATTTGATCGGAGACCAACGCAATCATAAGCATAAAAACTGCAACATGACACATCCACAGGCTCCAACCTATTCATATTAATCTTGTTAGAAAAAGCTGGGTGATGCGTAAATAAAATAAAAGGCAATCGGCACTACACGGATAGGAGAGGATATCAAACAACAAAGTCAGTTAAGGAGAATAGGATGCTGTTGAGAACCACAGAAGTGAATCCCGATAGATAGCCGATTATGGGCAGTGAGACCCAGAAGCTCAAGTAAGGTCAAAAAGCAGAAACCAAATGAACGATGCTTATTTGTGGTTTCTGCATACGCTCCCACAGACTTAAGCCCGGATACAGTCAAGGACGCCTTCTATCACAACCTACATGACCTTCTTCTCAAAGCACCTAAGACGTATATCGTGATCCTGGTCGGAGACCTAAATGCACGCGTTGGTCGTTTGTCGCCCGATGAGAGCCACCATGGTGGCCGTAAGATAATGGGGACAGACCTCTTAGCATATATTCAGAACGCAGTCTGTTCCTCGTTAGCGTCACCTCGCCACCTGGCGTAAAGCCTCTACAGACGTGGAGTCAGATTGATCATACAGTTATTAACTATGGATGGAGAGGATGTGTGAAAGACTGTCGTTATTATTGGTCTACCTGCTTGGACTCCGACCACGCACTGGTTTGTGCCAAATTGTCTATGCGACTTGGTGGCCACAACAGGATGCGATGCAAACAGATTGACGTCGCAAAGATTTATGACAAGACCGTACTATCCGAATACCGAAACGAGTTAGCTGCAAGGCTAACTACCACCCCACAAAGTAGCGTAGATCAACACTGGACAACCATTCAAAATGCAATGCACATAGCCGTTTTACACAGTGGTAGCCTAACTCGCCGAGTTGTAAATCACTGGGTTTTCTCCAACTCTCTCAGACTCCTCGATGCGCGTCGGGCACTCCCGGGAGACCGCGAGTACAAGGAACAGCGCCTCTCCTT